ATTTTATTTGGACATAAAACATCATTTTATGATTGATAAAATTATATTGTAATTTTTGAATGTATTATTTCCTATTTTGAATTTATTGTATTTATTTAGGTGAAAACCGAAAATAAATATGGGAAAATTCAAAATGAACTTTATTAAACTTGGAAATATTATTTCTAAGTTGAATAAGGTTGTTGATAAATATATTGTTAAAAATAATATTAGTTAGTAATTAAATAAATATATATTTATATATGTACTCGGTTTTATTACTGAAATATTATATATATTTATATATTTGTATTTTAATTACATAAATGACTAATATATATTTTGGAAAGTTATATCTCAGTAACAAAAGAATTTTTTTTAAAATATTAAATTTTTGTAATTTAAAATTTTCGAAATCAATTTAAATGGCCTTTTATAACTTATTGAGATTTAACTAATATATTTTGGAAATAATGATTTATAAATTTTGGAAATTTTATTTCCAGGTTTATAAATGTTGAAAATAATTACTGGAAGTTGAAATTTAATTTTCATTATTTTTGCAAAATTGTTTCAAAATTTTAATTGCCTTATTGAAAATAATTTTGCAAAAAGGGCATTTTGGTCAATTGGAATATTCTGGAATTTTTTTATGCTGGCAGAATATCCAGAATGCATAAAATGATTATTATAAAATTTTATTAGATTTATTTGGACATCTAATTTAATTTTATGAGTTTTAGAAAATATTTACTCCCGTAGTATTTTTCTAGAACTGTCTGGGGTGAGCGCGGTTCACCCGGTGTATGTATATTTCTATTCCTTGTGTGGATGTATGATATGCATGGTGGATGATTGTGGCTATAGTTTATTTGATTATAATACGGCCTGCGTGTCGTGCCTTATCTTATAAACTCTTGTTGTAAATCTATTTCTCTCCCTTACCTCAACCGAGGATTCTTTTCTCACGTGGTGGTTAGAAGACGAAAAGATTTGAAGACTGTTTGAAAAAATCTAAGAGAATGGAGATAGCCCGAAGTCCAAGTGACCGGAAGCCAGTGGGAGCTATCGTTTTATTTTTCTTTTAAGGGCCACAATCATTACACGTTTATTTACTGCGTTTTGTGAATGCATGTTGAATGTATGTTGAACACTAGTAATGGACATGTGCGCGGCCATGTCGATAGGTGAGATCGAAATTATAAATCCCTCACGAATATTAAGTCTGTTGCCTTCTGACGCCCGGCACCTATCCAGCTAATGTGCATTGTCATGTACTCAGCCTCAGCAGAGCATAGTACGGTGTATGTTAAGCTGGTTACGGGAACCGCCATAGCGTGGTCGCTGTCGCACGTTGGGTTAGACTTAACTGAGTCTCGGTCAAATGGATGGACGACTTAGAGGCAGTAAGTTGGGGTCATCAATGAGAAGTCGGATGATTTTACTCACTCATCCAGCCAGGAGTTGGATCTTTATGATTTAATTGAACTTTATTCCTAACCAAAGTAGTCTGCTTGTAAGACGTGCCTCAGCCAATTACAAGTATGGTGAAAAGGTGTCATGGTCCGGTTGTAGTAATATTGTTCACCCAACACCAGACCAAGAGCTGAGAGCCCGGCTCATCAGTTGGAACTATGTTCCTACCTAAATAGTTGTCTTGTGGAGTAACGCCCAAGCGGAACGCAAGATAATGAAATATGGATCTTGGCCCACTAGAGGTTTCGCCGGAAAGCTCCGAATCAATATCGAGGGTTACTGATTTGTTAAAAATAGTGGGAAATAATTAATTAAAGGCCTAATTAATTATTAAACATGATAGATAACCTAGTTTGCAAAATTTTCTGTAGATGGCAAACAACAACAACCCTTTCAACCTGCGATATGTTCTAGAAAAGGAAAAATTATCTGGAACCAACTTTCTTGATTGGGAGATGAATCTTAAGATTGTTCTCAAATGCGAGAAAAAGCTCTACGTCCTTACCTCTAAGCCTCCCAAAACTCCTGAAGCGAACGCCCGTGCTGCAGAAATTACTTCGTACAAGAAGTATGAAGATGACGCACGTGATGTGAGATGTCTCATGCTAGCCACCATGACTTCGGAGCTCCAAAGGCTCCATAAGGACATGGAAGCTCATCCTATGATGACTCGCTTGAAAGGTCTATACCAAGGCCAGGCTAGACATGAGCGTTTCAAAAT